TGAGCCGGTGAGATTTGAACAGCCGAACTGCAGAACTGCAGTCAGCTGAAGTAGCCTGCAGTGCTGCATTTAACCACTGCGCCACCTCGGCTCTCTAGTGTAGTGTAGTGATAGCTCAGTATGGGTTGAGATATCAGGTGTCTGATAAACAAACAACATATCCAGGGGAAAAGGCACAAGACAGGATGGAGTGGAATTCAGGGGAACTTGGAATTCAGAATTCAAGGCATGCCCCAATAAGATAAACATGGCAGAGCTGAGGCTTGAAAAGTTGTCCTCAGCTTTTGCCAGCGAAGAAGCCAGGCAAGCCACTACCCAGATGATGCCCACCTGAGGCACTACCCTTATTAGAGTCTGCTCTCCTTATGGCCTGCTTCTTTAGCCAGTCTTTTTGGCCTGTGGAGCTCAATCCAGGGAATCTTAGGAATTTGCTGGATAAAGTTCAGCTGGCATGGATTCATAGTAGGATGGGCAATATGTGGTCGCTCCATGAATTCCAACTTGTGCTCACCACAACACACATGGGCAGTGGTGAGGGGGAGTGAGGAGAGTTGAAGTTCCAATAGCATTTGGAGGATCAGACATCGCACACCTGTTGTACATGATAAAACCAGCTCAACCAATGACTCCCCAAAGATCAATCATCTTATCTCTCTGCTAAGGAAGACAGTTGTGGTTTCAGCGCTGCCTGGAACTTCTCTATCCTCTTGACAGTGTTTGCTGAAGAAGGGCAGCAAAAGTTCCTTCCAGCTTGCCATGGAAAATGAATGAAACCTGTAATTAAGCCTTAAAATAAGGAAGTGGTTGGTTTTTAAAAAAAAAATAAAGAGGAAATATTTCAAAGTCTGCATAAACATTCAGCTCTATCCATTGGAGCATTCAGTCCCTATCAGAGAGAGGTTCTAGAACAATGATGACAAACCTTTTGGGATCAACATGTCAAAAATTTGAAAATGCCTAACTTGACTCTGCTGGGGTGTCACACGCCCCAAACAATTCTCCACCTCCCCCCCCCTTCCCATTAGGCCACCTTGAACAGCAGCATGGCCTGAAGTAGAGGTCCTCAGGACACAATTGATCCCACAGCCCAATTCTTCCTAGGATCTGCCACATTCCATTTTTAGTCAGTGTTCTCTTTCTGTCCCTTCCTTCCTGAGATTGGTTTCCAGGTCACACAAAGCCTTCAAAGTGACTTTGGAAAATGTTCTTCCATGGCAAAACAGCACAAAAGGATGTCCTGTTCTTCTGGGGGACATATTCCATTCTCACATGGCCTCCAAAAATTGTGTGAGGACAGGCCTTGCTTTCAAGAATAGTTGTTGGGTATTGGGGGACAGTGGTGTGTCACCCCAAACGCCATAGCATGTTACCTTTGACTCTCATTTCATAGGTTCGCCATCACTACTCTAGAGATACGAAGACAATCAGTATGGGTACAATATGAATGATGAAGAATAGATTTCTGTCAGCCCTCTAGAGTAGGCCAAGGTCAGGGAGCAGACCCCATAAGTAAGCCTGCTACTCTATTGATTTAGGCTATAGTAGCAAAATCCTGAAAGCCTGACAGCATTTTCTTGAAAGATGGAGGTAGTTTGAGTTTTTTCCTACTGTTTTTTCCTCTTTTGGACTTAAGTAATGCTCTGTTGTGCTTGCATAGTTTCTCTAAGGTAATCTCTTTAGTTCCTTTTTGTTTCATAATAGCCCTATGAAATCTTGTGAAGGACAACTTGCAAATGAACTAATATAGCAGTTACGCTCAAGCAGGCAGACTAATGTTAAGTAACTACACAATAGAGTTGGGCACACTTGAAATATTTTTTGAAAGAAATGTGCTGGGCCTTATGTAAGAATAAGCACAGCATCTCCCTGCCGTTCATTAAAATACACACTCCCCCATACACGCACACATTTACAAACAAGTGTGAAAAAAGAACCCTGTTAAATAATAATTCAATCTAATTATTGCAATTAAATAAGGCAATAATTAAAGACATGCTGCTTTAATTATTCAGTTCATTAAAGCAGTTGTATCTAGTTTCAGACTTGTGGGAAAGCCTGAAAAAAATTGGCACACTTTAACAAATGGCAGAGAAGCACTTTTACTTGCATGAGGTCTAAAACTTTTAAAGGTTTTAAGAGAGTGCATCACTTTAATAGATAAAGACAGTCTTAGATCTACTAAGTGATAACCTCCTTTATTCTGGGGCAGTGCACCCTAAAAATTGTTGGGGGCCTGGGGTAATAACTACCACTGGCAAGCCTGCTTTATCATAATGGTAAGTTGCAGAAAGAGGCCTCTTAAGGCATGTTTTGTTGTGTCTGTTATTTGGCCTCAGCTGCTAATCAGAAAATCTTCCCCTAAGATTTCCTACCACCAACCACACAAGCAACTCAGGGAATATGCACTTAGCTCTATGCAGGCTGATATTTTGATGTTTCCTGGAATAAACAAAGTGTGTTTTTACAAGGTTGGTATGATTCTTTCCTCCTTGCCTGACCTAGTTTTTAATTTAATAAAGGCATTATTAATAAAGGCCTGTAACTTAGGGGAACAATTTGACACTACTTTGGATTGTGAACATGGCAAATTGCTAATCGATAAAGTATTAAGACAGCTTTTAGATACTGAACCAGAGTAGAGTTCTGACTATTTAGTATACATCAAACTCTTCATAGCCAAATGTAGAATAAACTGTGTGTGTGTGTGTGTGTTAATAAGTGAAAGACATTTTTGTTCATAAATTAAAGAAGAAATGTTTTTATTTACAGCTAAGTCCTTGAATTGGCTTGATGGCTCTGAGGCTAAATATACAAATTGGGCCAATGAAAGTGAAAAGGCTAATGGTCAGTGCAGTGTTATCTTTTCAGCCAATGGGACATGGTCCAAAGCAGACTGCAACAATGAACCAAGCAGAGTTGTTTGCAAAACTCCTGAAGGTATGTAAATTGTTGTTTGCAAAACTCCTGAAGGTATGTAAATGATGATTTAGTATAGTCAGATGAAGATAAGTTATCTGGTCCATTTCAAATATTTTAGACTATGTCTTGAAGATAAGGTGGAATAAAAATATCATCATCATCATCATCATCATCATCATCATCATCATCATCATCATCATCATCATCATCATCTTTTACTGTGACCAAGGATGGGAATTGTTTATTCCACAATAGAGTAGCCTTTTTATGGTATAGTATAACGGGGACCTAGCACCCAAAAGATTGGGGGCCACTGCAGTATAATACAGTAGAAGGGTTGCTTGTTTCTCTTGACAGTAGAAGTAGACAGACAGTAGAAAGGTTTCTCTTCTCTTCTCTATGATTGAGACGGAGCCCTAGAGAAAAACAAAGTATTCATGTCTAGCCTCAGTATGTTAGTGGCTAAGAAAGCAGCCAGCTGCTGCGAGGAAGTCATGCATTTAAATGACAGGATAATCTTCATAGTATTTAGTTGGATTTAAAAGGGTAGGTAAATATTTTAATACTTACTTACTTTGTTCATTCAATACTTTTATGTTGTGACTGACTTTGATAAAAGATAGGATATGAAAACAACAACAACAATCATACAACAACCATACCCACATGTGGCTTGTATTTTAAGTTCTCTAGTTCAATAACTTTTTCTTCTTTTATTAATT